CTAGTTCAGCTTCTTTCATCCATTCGTTCTCGGAACTCGGGAATCCCTTCCACTTTACATAATATTGACGTCTAGATGAAGATCCGCGGTGTCCGACAACCGCTTCAACTTCGTGTTCTTCTTCGCCATCGACCAAGTCAGGGGGAGGCGGTATAAAATTAGGGCCGTGGGTATCGTTCTCTTTATAAGGAGATAGGAGTGCGGCATGGAATACGGGATGAATGCGCCATTGTGACGGTAGCGCGAGTCGATAAGTTATTGGGGATAATACGTCGGTGATAATGAATGGTCCTTCGCGTTTTGGCGCGAGTTTCCGATTAGGGTATCCGAGATGAAGATTTTTGGCTTCAAGCCATACTTTATCGCCTTTAGAGAATGGTACAAATTTAGACGTGATTCGTTGACGCATAGTATTACGTGCGAGTTCATGAGCGGCTAGCGCTTCGTCACGTGCTTTGTTAAGCAAGGAGAGTCGTTGTTCAATATTAGGAATGTCGGATTTCGGATGGGAGTCAGGAATGTGACGTGGGTGATAGCCCATCATAAGGTAAAAGGGGGAGGTACCACGTGCTGAATGATGGCGCAAGTTATGGATGAACTCGGCGAGTGGCAACATGGGCGCCCAACCAGTTTGGTCGTTGGCGCAGAAGATCCGGAGGTAGACTTCGAGTTCTTGGTTGACTCGTTCGGTCTCTCCATCACTCTGAGGGTGGAATGCGGTGGAAAGTGAATTCTTGTATCCGAGGAGTTTTCCGAGTTTGACCTGGAATCTGGAAGCGAACTGAGGTCCGCAGTCAGAGATAATTTTATCGTAAAGTCCGTATCTAGAGAAAACTTTAGAAAAGAAAATGTTTGCGACGCCTTCAGCGTCGATGGTTTTGAGACAAGGGGTGAAGATTACCCCCTTCGAAAGTCCGTGGTTGACCACGACCATGATGCTATCAAAGCCGTCTGAAAGGGGAAGGTCCGTGATAAGATCTACCGAGCAGTGAGCGAAGGGTTGGTTAGAAATAGGGGCGGGAATAGGAGAGAGTGGCGGAGTCGAAGGGTGCGTGTTTACTTTATTCTGTTGGCAGATGCAACAGCCTTCGACAAAGTTCTTGACAAATGTGGCTAGGCCTGGCCACCAATAGTCGTGAGAGAGTAGTTCCTGGGTTTTAAAACGTCCAGGGTGTCCAGCGGTGGGGGAGTCGTGATGTAGGGAAGTGAATTCTCGTTGGAGATCTCCGGGAGGTACGTAGGTGAGTCCTTTAAATGAAAGAATTCCGTCGCTCAATTTCCAGTCGGAAAGAGCGGAGCGGAGTGGAGGGGGAATAGAGGGGTCTGTAAGCGCTTGAAGCGCAGTATGTACTACTGGGTCGATGGAAGAGGAAATACGTAATCTGTCCATAAAAGAAGTGTCAATGACATTAATAAACATCGAGTCAGGGAGGAGTTGTATACTAATATTGTCCTTTTCGTCGCTATCGACCGGAAGGTGATCCGTTCTACGGGAGAGTAAATCGGGAATGATGAGTTCTTTTCCAGGTACGTGCTGGATCAGAAGTTTGAACTGGGAAAGGAAGGTTTGCCATCTTGCTTGGCGTCGGTTAAGGTCTTGTACGTCCCTAAAATAAGTAAGATTCTTGTGGTCAGTCTGTATGGTAACCGGATAAGGTGAACCGAGGAGATAATGTCTCCACACTTTCAAAGCGCGGACGATAGCGAGTAATTCTCGATCGTAGATCTGATAATTACGTTCAGCGGGGTTAAAGGATTGAGAAAGGAAGGAACATGGGAGCCAATCTCCGTTATCGTTTTTCTGGAGGAGTACAGCTCCGGTAGCATAGAGTGATGCGTCGGTGGCAATCGCAAATGGGGAATTCTTGTCGGGTATTTGCAGGATTGGTGATGAGGTGAAAATACGCTTCAGCTTATTAAAAGCTTCCTCGCGTTCGGGTGTCCAAGTAAATTCTTTGTCTTTCTTGGTTAGATCGATTAGGGGTCTAGCAATCGATGAATAATCAGCAATAAACCGCCGGTAGAAATTAGCGAATCCGAGGAATGATTGAACTTCCTTTACTTTCGTGGGAGTCTTCCATTCGGATATACCCTTTAATTTGGCAGGGTCCATGGCGATAGAACCGGGTTTGATGATCATGCCGAGGTATTCGATATCGGTTATGTTGAAGGTGCATTTTTCGGGTTTAAGGTGGAGGAGGTTGTCACGAAGTCGTTGAAGTACTTTATGAGTTCGGATACGGTGAGTTTCGTCGTCCTTGGAAAAGATCAGTATATCGTCCATATATATAATAATCCACCCCTCCTGTATCATATCTCTGAACAAGTCATTCATCATCGATTGAAAGGTAGCGGGTGAGTTGCACATTCCGAAGAACATGACCGTGGGTTCAAAAAGTCCTCGGGAAGTGGCGAAAGCCGCCTTCCATTGATCAGTTTTTCTCATGCGTACGTTATTATAGCCCCATCGAATGTCCATCTTAGTAAAGATCTTGGCGTCCTTTAGCTTATCTATAAGATCAGAGATTAGCGGTAAGGGGTAGTTATTCTTAACCGTGTGTTCGTTCAAGTAGCGATAGTCCTGGCAAGGTCGGAGGGAACCGTCTTTCTTCCCAACGAAGAAGAATGGAGATGATTGTGGGGATTCGGAAGGGACAATCGTCCCTTTAGCTAGATGTTCATCAATAAAATCGTTCATTGCCTTATCTTCTTTGGCGTTAAGCGGGTAAATTTTGCATTTCCGCGGTTCGAAGGATTCTTTGAGGTCAATCTTGTGGTTGTATTTGCGTTCTGGGGGAAGAGTACCGTTAGCTACGTCACCAAATACGTCTTTGTATTGTCGGAACTCTTCGGGTACGAGTTCTTCAAAGGTTTTCTTTGGTTTAGCGGCGTCTTGGGCAAGTGTCTGTGAAATGTTGTCAGTTTTCCAGATATAGGTATAGAAGTTGTTGTCGTCATTAATAGGATCTAGAAGGTATGGGAGAGTTTCGTTAGCAGGGTCCCATTCTGGTTCTAGTTCTTCTAGTGCGTCATAAAAGACATCTTCTTCTTCGATTTCTTCAATCATGGCTTTCTTTAGGGTATGCTCCCTTAGACGGACTTCTTGATTAGTCCAATCAATATCTGGGTTTTCTTTCTTTAGCCAAGTCATTCCCAGGATAGCGTCTTCTCCTCCTAGAGAGGTTACAAAGAATCGCTTCCGCATAGGGATATCTTTGATTAAAAAGGAAAGTTCACAATACCGTGTGATTCTTCCGGCTTTGTTTAACGTGCCGTCTACGTTTCGTACAGGGATTGGGGTTTCCAATTTGTGCGTGCGAATATTCTCTTTGAGGATGAATTTCTCGTCGATGAATTCGCCTTCTGCGCCGCAGTCAATTAAGGCGGCGGCTACGGTGGTTTTTTCAGTCTTCTTCGATCTAATGGTTAACGGCAAACGAATAGAATTAGTATCGCCAATAGATTGTACTAAAAGTCCGATTCTGGGAGTTTCTGACACTGTGGCAGGCTCCCCTAGGCAAAATCCTCCTCATTGCTGCTCTCTTCTTTCTTAACTGGTTTCTTACCGGCTTGCTTCATCTGGCGTGCTTTAAACGCCTTCCATTCTTGGAATTCTTTGTAGTCGTCGTCAGATGACTCCTTGACTACCTTTCTCGTGTTGGTCGTAACCGTGGGATGGTTAGGGCAATCTGCGGCTAAGCCCTTCTTACCGCATTTGAAGCAGAGGCCACCCTTGCGCCTGTGCTCCCGTTCTTGAGGAGTGAGGTACGTCTTCCTTGTCTTCTTCTCACCTTCTTCGTCATCTATTTCTACTTTATCTATATCCATGGCGTAGGGATCTTTTGCCTTGGTATAGGTTGGAGGTGCTATTAAGGTCCTTTGTACCTCGACGTCTAGGGCTTTCTCTAGCCACGTCTCGATGGTGGTGGGGGTCGTTTCAAAGGCGTATATAGCAGAGACTATCTCACGCTTAAGGCCGTTTCTGAAGAACATGATCTTCGTGTTTTCTTCGGTGATGCCGGTATCAGCAAGGATGGTGCGGAATAGGGAGGCGTAAGCAGCTATGCTGCCAGTCTGTCAGAGAGATGAGATGCGACGAATTGCGGTCTGTTCAACGTTCTTTGGGAAAAAGGTAGATTTGAACTGCTTAGCGAAATCCAACCACGTCCCATAATTCTTGCTCGTGGCCGTGGCCTTGAGCTGGCCTTCGGCCCATTTAGCAGCCTCGCCTTTAGTCATAAGGCTGAGGGCGAAGATGACTTTCTTTTTGTCATTGTCATATACTTCGTCGTTCATGTCTAGGTACGCCTTGACTTGAAGCGTCCATCCCTGTGCAAGGCGAGTATCGCCGTTGAAGGGTGTGGGGGTCTTTCCGATTTCTTTCGGCATGGGTGCTGAGAGGGATTGTTCGTAGGTTTGGGTATGAAAATTCCAAACTTGGTTCTTCGGGGCGATGCTAGCGTAGTAAGCTGCCCACTGGTCGATGGAGTATCTGGTGCCCTTGGCGTCTATCTGATAGAACTCTTGTTCTTCTTCGTCCCAGGTGAAACCGGGAGGTGTCGGGGCGATCGGTGGTATGGTGTCTGGTTCTGGGCACGAGTTCTAGGGAACCGCGCAGTAAAGAAGTAACTTGACCTTTTGTTATGCTCGGCGTTCGTGAGAACGGCTAAATGGTCACAAAGAGTCTAAAGCGTACACCTATGTACGAGTCGTGCGAGTTAAGCAGTATATTGCAGGCCCTGGTCTGCGTAGGTCAAGTTAAAGAGTACAAGCGTAAGAGATAGAGTATATATAAAGGGATTAAAGCGGAGCTTTAATAAATGAATTGGAGATGAAAAGTAAATAGCGAATCAGAAAAGAGAAGTAAGAATCGTACGATAGAATGTCATGGAATGTTCTGTGAATATGTGATAAGGTGAATAAGTGAAGAGGTGAAAGGAAAAGAATAGAACTGTAACACCCAGGGCATCGCATGCACACTGGACCTAGTTCACAGATCCATGTCCGTCCGGACAACACATAAAACATTCGATCCACACATCATCCTCAAAGCAAGAGACCTCATCAAACTACTCGCAAGAGGGGTTGCGATCACGCAGGCTCAGAAGGTATTACAGGACGGACGTGGCTTGCGATATCATCAAAATTGGGAATCTGGTGCGTAACAAGGACAGGTTTGTGAAACGGAGACAACGGATTATTGGACCGGATGGGAGTACGCTGAAGGTGAGTGTTGTATAGTTTTGACTGTGCGTATGCTGATATTGAACTTTTTACAGGCCATTGAGCTATTGACTCAGTGCTACATTCTTGTACAAGGGAATATCGTCAGCGTCATGGGTCTGTACAAATCACTAAAATAAGTTTGACGAATAGTCCTCGACTGCATGAAAAACATTCATCCCATCTACCGCATAAAGGTATGTCAACTAGCATTTATTCTTTCTGCAGCTTTATTGAAACGTTCACAGGAACTCATAATAAGAAGGGAACTCGCAAAAGATTTCAAATTAGCAACAGAGTCCCGGGACCGGTTCCTCCCCACGTTCAGGAACATCTGAAGACCTCCGAAAAGACGATGAAGAAGAACGGGAAAGTCATTGCCAAGGAAGAAGCGCGCAAGGCTTCAGGCCTTGATGCATCGAGTTCCGACAAAAAGGAGAAACCAGCGAAGAAAGTGTACACACCCTTTCCCCCACCACAACAATTACGGAAGGTAATTCACTCTGCTGCTGGTTGTTGAGTAGTGCTGATGTTCGGTTATGTCTAGGTTGACCTTCAGCTCGAGTCGGGAGAGTATTTCCTCAAGCCCCATGAATGGGAGGCCCGGGAAGTTCAACAAAGAAAACAAAAGGTGCGTGTTTACTGTGCAGTCCACAAAAAACTCATTTTATCTACAGCAAGCCGAAGCAACCCTCAAACGACGAGCAGAATGGGCAGAAGTATACGTCGCTCCCACAGGAGAGGCGGCCCCCACAGTTGAGGAGAAATGAAAGTGACGGCACACAGAAGTAGATGGCAAGGATGGGACGGCAAGGTAAAGGACATTGCTGCCTAGGCGCAATGGACTTTTCACACCGTTCGTGTGCACATTGTGAACGCAATGCTACTTGTAGAATATTTTGATGCATGCTGCGTATTGAGGACATCCTACTGCCAACACTAGTGGTACTCAGGATAAATCTTGAAGCTCGGTTAAAACGTCTTGAAAACTCGGCTACTCTAACAAAACACAGCCATGCAATACCTGCAATTGAAAGTCAGTCTGTCAGAGTTTAGAAATACATGCCTGCTGTTAGTCAATGTGCTTGCTGGTCTGCACAACTTCAAGCCAACACCTGTCTGCGCTTGAGGGGAATGGACCCCCCCCCTCCATCCAGTTCATCCATTCAATCTGTCTCATGTGATCCTGGACCCAGGATCACAGTTCAGTGGGGAAAAGAAGATGCTCTTACTGATATCCTTGTAGATCACATAACATCTCACCCTGCTGATAGTCACATTCTCTTCTATTCTGAGGGTAAGAAAATGGCTTCTACTGACAGTGAACAGGCATTGGGCAAGGACAAGAGTGACATCTACACTGTCCTTGCCAAGCTCATATTTGCCAATCATGCCAAATATGGTGCTTAGTGATGCTTTGGGCCTGGCCTGGCCTGAAAGCCAGGGCTTGGGCCTGGCTTTAGAGGGCTCAGGCCTGGAAGAAACTCAGGCCAGGCCCTTTTGGAGGGCCTGGGCCAGGGCTTCCAAGGTAAGATGAAGGTTTTATTTCACTACCCCAATCAATTAGAGACCTAATCCTTGACATCTGATTCACCTGACAGTATGATGTTGTCATCAGAGCCACCCTCCTCTCTATCATCCAGTTCCTCCAATGCTAATTCTAAAGCTGAAGAAGGAGGGGCCTCTTGAAAGATTAGATCATGTTGATACATCATATAAAGTACTTGAATTGCTTTGACTATATCACCCTTCAAGTGGTTGTGATGCTTTGTGACAGTCAGAGCAGCAGCAGAAAAAGCTCACTCACTTGAAACAGAAGTGGCCATGATGGACAAGTGATCACAAGTGAGAGAGGCCCAAACAGGGTACTGCTGACCATTCACCTACAATATTAAGCTACATCAGTAATAACACAGTTCACATGAAATGATACTTACCCCCCACCATTGGATGATAGATGTGTTATCAGGAACTGAAGTGGGTGAGTTAAGATAGAGGTGGAACTCCCTCAACCATGGCAACTGTGGATCCACCTCCGACTCTTCTGGCTCATCATCACCACTCTCATCATCACTGGAAAGCTCTTGGAGAAGTCCATATACCTTACCTGACTTCTTCTTCAGTGATGATGGAACACCATGCTCGCCATACAACTTAATATGCTCTTCCTTAAACTAGTCTAGATGTAAGCTTATACTTTTGCTCGAAAACAGAAGACCCACAATTCATTCAGCTTCCTTGAGAGCCTCGGCATGTGTGACCTTACCCCAAAAGCATTTGATGTGGGAGTCCTTCTGTGATGGATTGAGTACTAGATACAACAGGCCCAGGAGTTAGTATTAATCATATGACAAGCCACATCACCTACACATTGTGATGATGTATGCATCACACTCCGAACTTCGGTTGTAATACTCGTGGATCTTTGCAACACCTTGTTGTAAGGCTTCCTGAAATGCCTCGTACTTGGGATTCTCAGAATGAGTCGACCATGCCTTATGTAGGGCCTCGAGAGCTGGCAAAGCAAGGTGAAGGGATGCTCCTTTGTCGGATGAAAAGCTTTGCTGAGCTTTGTCAGCATGCTGAAGTGATAATCAGTTTCAACAATGACAAAAAGACAACCTAAGACTCACAGCAAGAAGAGACGTGAATAATGCAATGTGAGCCCATTCATCTTCACACAACTTCAACTGATCAATTTTGGCACATTTTGTAAGGTTAGTCTCATGAAGGCCAAGCTCATAGACAAATGTATCAACATACTAAAGAACAGTTAGTTTCGACTTGTTAGTTATATTATCATACTCATGGCTTGCTTCTTCTCAGCATGGTCAAGCATAACATAAGTCGAGGACCACCGGATGGGCATGTCAAGTAGTAGTTGTGAGACAACTGGGCTTGGGTTAGGCTGATGGGTCTGGATATCCTTCCAAAGTTGTTTTCATTGGGCAGAGGGCTGTGCCTTGTATCATTAGTCAAATGACATTGAAATGTTTTGAAAATGACATACCTTGACTGCAATTGCTCACGCAAGGCCAACTTCATCACAGTGGCCATGTGCTTGGGGGATGGACAGGTCTGGGAGCTTGGGGTTATAGTACGGGGCACTGCTATATGAGGCAATGATAGCTTGTGTTGCAAGATGAATGACGTGAGCTAAGCACCTGCAAGGTTTACATTAGTACAAGGGTGAAACAAATAGTTAGTTAACTATACCTAATACATCGCTTTTTTGGGATCCATGTCGTACCTGTCCCTTGCTTTATCCAAAGTGCCAGTTCATCAAGCATTGTATCATTATTTGAAGCATTGTCACATATAATATGGCCAATCTAATCTCGCATGAGTACAACATAACCAGGCATTCCAAAGTACCTTACCTTATGAGCAATACCCACTTGGTCCACAATCTTAAACAGTGCTTGACCAAGGTGTTGTCTGTTGTGTGAGTTGTTGAGTTGTGCGAACCCCAGGACAGCACATTCAAGCTGCCAAACACCAGGTGATGTTTCCTTGATCCAGTGGCCAGTGGTAGTGAAATAACTGTCTGCATTACTTGCCTGCCATGCATCACATGTTAAGTTGACAGTGCCAGATACAAGCTTGCTCTATTTGCAACGTCAGTTAATGATAATCAGACAAAACAAAAACTTAAATTGAGCCAGTCCTTTAACTTTGTCATCTGTGTCTTGAACAAGTCCATGATGTTGCAGCACATAGCATTACAATTTGGTAGGACCACACCATTTGTAGCATGGGCTGCTATGTTGATCATGTTCTTGAAGCTCAGATGATCTACAGCTTGGATTGGCTGTAAAATCATGTTAAACATCATATCAAATGTGAGTAATGAATACTTACCTGGCTAGTAGATATCAGCCAATCAATGGCAGCCTCATGGAAGAGTGAATCAGTATAAGGTATGACTACCTTGTTGGGAGGAATCTCTTGGAGGTGTCCATCAAGACTTGTTTGCTGTGCATTCACCACTGCGGCTGTGTTAAGAACCATGCTCAAAGGAGAGAGAGACTGACTCAGAGGGGCTTGGCCTCAGCTCGTATGCTGTGCCCCTTACCTGAGTATGTGCCCTTCATTTCAGAGGAAGTCCGATGATGGTCCTAATGAAGTCCAGAGGACTTCCAGAGGCTGGCTACTCTGGTGGAGAGTGCAGGAGGACTTCTGGAGGAGGCATGGAGAGTTCCGGAGGGATGCAGGAAATGCTCAGGAGAGTTCCCGCTGCAAGGTAATACTTCTACAGGGAAACAGGATGGAAGGATAGGAGGTCCGGAGGACAGGAGGACAGGATGTCCAGAGGTCTGGAGTATGGAGGACAGGAGGTCCAGAGGTATGGAGGATGGAACATCCGAAGGTACGGAGGGTGGAACATCTGAAGGACAGGATGCCAGAGGTATGAGGGACAGGATGTCCAGAGGTACAGAAGACAGGGGGGTCTGGAAGGAATAGGGGCTACATCGGACGAAGTCCGATGCAGAAGCAAGCAGAGGTAGACTACCCTAAGGTAGAGTTGGAGGGACGGGAAGTGGACCTAAGTCCGGAAAGAGGGTAAGTGCCAGAAAGGCAAGACTCTAGCCTAGGGAAGCAATCCCTAGACTTGGGACAAAGACATAGGGGACAAATCCGAAGGTCCAGAATTCTGGCCTAGGGAATCCTTCCCTAGGCCTTATGGAAAAGGACAAGACTCGGATGGACTGAAGTCTGGAAGATGATTGGCAAGTAGAACAGGATCTAAGATGATATTCAGACTGAGGACTCTACAGGAATTGTACAGGGGTTATATACCAGAGGATATCTGAGAGGATCAGTAAGCAACAGAGTAAGGCTATGTACGAGCATGTGGAAACACATTGGTAAGTAAGACAGAACATAAGTAAATGAACTCGGAGATGAAACTAGTACAAGGATCAATCAGCAAGATGGAAACAGAGATAACTGAGAACCGGAAAGGCAGAGATGCCTAAATGGGGATAGGCGCAGGATCTCAGATGGAGGGTGGGAATAGGTCTGGAGATAGTACAGTTAATATCCGGAGGTCCGGAGATCTGGGGATCTAGAAGGCAGGGTGGAAACCGGACTGAGATATGTGAGGTGGTGGATGTAGTCCAGAATCTGAGAGGAGGTAAAGTCTGGATGTCTTGCTGGACAGAATGTGCATAGGGTGGACAGGATAGGGGATCCAGGAATGAGTTGGATATGGGGTCTGGAAACAGGTCTGGAAAGCGTGGGAATATGATGAGATCTATGTCTGGCATACGGGATATGACAGGCTGCTGTTTTGCGTTCCTTGACATCTTGAAGTAGCATTGACTTGAAGTTGTTGGTCTTGCACCATTGTCAATAGGCATCCTATAAACATTAATACACAAATGAAGCATCAAAATTGAAATACTAAACTTACCAGATGCTGAAAGGCAATGTAGCATCAACATGTTGAAGTGTTGCTAACAATCTGGCATGGGTAATGTTTTTTTCTATGAATTTGTTAGTTGGGAGGTAGCAAATCGAAGATATTACTTACTTGCATGGCTCGCAGTCTTGAACTGTACAAGTCTTCCCATCTTTGGCCTTGTGTGTGTATGGCTTGCTGAAAAATGCACTGACATCGTGGCCCTTTTCCTCACGTTGAACAGTCAGGGTTGTGGATAGATCTTGTACATTGATGTCGGATAAAAAACCTTTGGTGTCCATAGGTGTTGCATCACATGTGATCAGAGTCTCTTCTGTTGATCAGAAGCATTGACAAGTAGTTATA